ACTTCGCCGCGTTATTGTCCGTTTATTAATTTATGACCACGGTCCATGCGATTGTTTATAACGTAAATGCTTCGACGTCCCCGCATATGCAGGTGAGCCGTTCAGCCTAACGTCAAGCGGCCGATTAATTCTATTATAAATTATTTCGAGAGCCTTATTATTAAAGAGATCTATCAACAATTCAGTTTGGCGAAATCCGAAACAGCATCGTCGAGAATCAAGCGCAAAAGAAAACTTGAAAGAAGCAGTGACGTTTTACGCCACATATACAGAGTGGTAGTTAAGTTTTCTAAAAGATCTTAAGGTGATTCCTTACACTAAAACAAGACAAAAATATGATTACATGTCCAAAACAGTTTTCAAAGATACAAAGTGTCAGAGTTGAAGGAAAAATTTTTTTTCCAAAAATTTCGGAAACCACTCAGATTATTTCAATAAAACTATGTTTAAAGTTTTATCAAAATAACTCTAATGATTTTTTATTTAAATTTTTGGAAAAAATGAAATTTTTACTTCATTTATGATATCTATATCTTTGAAATGGAATCGTTTCGAACATGTATCTTATGAAAACTGTATTCTCTAATTCCTTTCTTTCCTTTAGTAAAATATTGTTTTAAGTTTAAGATTTTTATGCGACAAAAATTTCTTAGAAAGTTTTTATCTTGATTTAGTGTGAAGAATCATCCCTTAAAATCTTTCAGAATATTTAACTATATCACTCTGTATATAGAAACAGCGAAAAAAATCGTGAAAAAAATTTGAATAAATATGCGAGTGAAAGATCTAAATAAAAAAGATTTAATATTTTTATTACGATATGCGGCTGACACGCATGAATCGGCAGATGAATCCCACGAGAAATGAAATAAGACGCACGCGTCCGAAAAAGAACTGAACTGGTTTACTGCATTATGATAATGACGTTGCATTCACGCGGGCAAATATTCCCCAGTGAAAAGACGTGACTGGTTGATCGGGCTGGTCGGTTGCATCATCGCCGAGTGATCGTTAAACGCATCATCGACCGTGTGACAAACGGCCAGCGGTTCGTCAGCCGTGTGCGCAACCGCGTATAATTAATGCAAGCGATCCATTCGTCAATCGGACGCGATATCCATCTACGCGTTGCTAATGAATTCCACGATCATCGTCTAGTCGCTTCGACGCGTGTTCCAACAGCAGGCACGATGGATTCTCTCGTTTGAAAGACGGTTGCATGCATAGTTGGTTGCAGAGTATTTTTCTGCTTCAGAATTATTCTTTAGATTATAATTTGTTTCAATATTTATTTTTTCGATATTGATTGTCTAAATATTTATTTTAAGTGTTTTATAAAAATTTATTAATACAAATAAATGAAATATATTCAAGATGGATCTTGATGCCTGATGTTTACACGAATTTTTTACAATTTCCAGTTTAAGCAAATTGTGCTAATTATTTGTCGGTCTTGAAATAATCTTAAGCTGATATTCATATTCGATTCTTATTTTAAGACCGTCTTAAGTAACGTCTTGAAATGCTAATACAGCTCTCTGATTGGTTTATAACATCTTAAAACTGTACTTAAAACGATCTTGAATATAAGATCCGACCAAGAATACTGGCCTTAGACTGAAACCGGAGTATGTAATATCACAAATTAAATTGACAAGTAATTTAATATTTCTGATGTTAAATAAATATCTTTAAAGCATCATAAATAAATAAAAAAAAAATTCATTATTTAAGAAAAAAATTTATTTTGTTATAAAAATTTATTTTGTTATAAAAATTTATTATGTTAGCATATTCAGTAAGTAAATCTAAAGATAAGACAACTCGTTGATCAATTCGTCATTCCAACAGGAATATCATTATCGCAGCTTTGGTGAATTATTAGAAATTGTTACGTCTATCACATGAAAGTCTTCAGTTGAAACGTTAAGCGTGAAAGACGACGCCTCGTCGGCTGTTCAATTTCTTTGCGGCCTGTCTTGTTACGATACTACACAGTACATACATACTTTATAGCATCACGATAAATTACCATGAAGTCAGTAATTATTTTTGCGTATGTGAGTAACGAAGACTCTACTTGGTTCGTTGTAACTTGCTGAGTGTTGCGATAAAATTTATGAGCCTATTAAAAATTTCCGGCTAATGTTCTTCGAGACGCAGAAATTTTTTCAACCACATAATTTCTCAATGAATACGCAATAAAGTATATAATACCGAGCTGATATTTATTATATCGTTGTCCAATCCAAAATATTGACTTCATTAATAATGTTGTAAATGTCACGTGATAAAAAGAGCAACTTAACAATCATATAAAACTAAATACAAATGATTTAATCACTTGTATTTATCTGTAATATAGAAATATAATATTAATGTTAAGTGTATTTTTAATTTCCTTAATATCTTATAATGAGTTTTGAAATTATTAATTGATTGATTTGTTTCTATAATTGGAACTGTTTTTGTTTTATTATTTTCTATTTTAAGTTCGCATCTCCAGACCATTCTAATTTAAAAGAATAATAGACGAGCACTTGGCACTTGAAAAATGCTATTTTCGATTCCTGTTATTTACAGCGATGGAACTCCAATTAAATTCGCAAAAAGCTTCGTCGAATTGATCGTTATTTCCAAGCAATTAATTTTATAGTCGCCGCAAATTAGTACTACATCTAGATTGGACAATAATTAATTGGTATGTCAAACTTCGTACAATGGTAGATGTTTGATAAAATTTTTAAAATTTTATGTGTACACGGTAAAAAACATTATGTATTAATATTGGAAACGGTCTGTTCTTGTTAACTATTTGTGTTAAATTTCTCAGTATATTTGAGTGTTAATTTAACATAACGTGATTATTTTAATATTTTGTGTTAAATTGATATTCAACATTTCTTAGTGTTAAAATAATACAATTTATGAGTAAGTGAACAAATAACACAAAAATGTATTTTGAAACGTAAATTCTATCTAAATGAAATACAATCACAATAATAAAATATCTGTGTTATTTTCTAATATATTTATCATATATTAAATAAATACCAAATTTGGACCGTTTATGACATACGAAATGTGTTATATTCGATATAAATTTTCCAACAGTATAAAAGACTATCACTCTTGTGGCTACCTGTCTTGATTGACATTTTAAAAATTAGAAAGTTTTGTAATTTGTAAAAAAAATGTTTTTTTTATGCTATATAATCTCGAAAATCATTTACAGCAGCCCTGTAAATATCATTATTAGTAATTCGTTTGATTTACGGTAACTTGCGGTTTTCTCATGAGAGAGTCCAATAGTATTAGATCGTATTGTATTATTATGAAGCCGAGCCACAGTACCGAGTATGCGGATACGGTCCGTGGATGTGTATTCATTCGCAAAAACGAGCGTGCTTATCGCGGCAGTGAGAGGAGAGAGCAATTTCATGAGTTCGGTGCCTTGGTTACTCGCGCGTGTACGAAAACAGTCGATGGTCATGGTGCAATAATGGAATTTAATAATGCGATATGCGTTCTCTCTCTCTCTCTCTCTCTCTCTCTTTCTTTCTCTAATATCTCGGTACTCTCTCCTCTTTCCTTTTATCCTCATCGTCTTTCAGTTTCTCCTCCTCGCAAACGATGCGGCGCGGCACGTTGAGCAAGTGCACGAGCATGTCGGGCCAAGCGCATTCAGTGGCTCGGTTCGCCGGTTAATTAGCCATTAAATATCAAGCAGCCAGCACGAGACTGCACGCAGATGGTATTTCGGATCAGTTAGAGTAGTTAGCAATGGGCAATTACGGATAATAAACAGACTGCGCGACTGCGGCAGCGTACGGCGCGCGTGGCGTGTTGTACGAATGGTCCGGAAAGCCGAGTTACGTTTGTACGATGCAGAGATGCATAAAAATCGAAATATCATAAAATATAATGGATTTCCGATGTCTGGAAAATTGATATGTTCTCTTTAGATTTTTGATACGAGAGTTAAGATCATCGAAAATTGAAGAAAATTTAAATAACTAAAATCCTAACATTAAAAAACTTAAAATTAAACGTATAAAATAAAAAAAGAATAGCCTCTTCGAGAGAAAAGTATTTATTTCGCGTTGACAATCCAATTTTAGATCGACTGTGTTTTGAATCTGATATATCTGTATATGTCATATTTCTTCGTGCAAAACGAATATTGAGCGCGTCACAAAAATACTACGCTTCATGAACATGGAAATTCGGCATCGAGAATACATTCGTGATAATCATTTTATATTCATTTCAAGGTAGATTAATTAATCGGCACGCCCAAAATATCGAACCAACTGGATAAACCATTAGCATTAATATTTCATTATTCCCTCATCCTACTCGGGTGTTATCTGACTATCTAGATTGAATCCAGTTAAATAAAATCGTCCTACTATTTCATGCTTTCTCGAATTTGCTCTATTCGTGTTCGATGTCGAACGTTACTGATCGCGATTTGAGAGTGATCGATCGCGCCGCGCTGGGTTGTTCTTATTGTAACAAGTCTAGCGTTCAAATGAAATTACAATTTTATAATAATCGTATACATCTCATTTACAATTAAGAATTTAGAACATTTAATAACGAGAAATTAAATTATGTATTTAGAATAAGTGATTAATATGTAATAGTTATGATTATTATATTGTATTATATATATCTAATAAATAATAGAACAATTAGAATAATTAGATGGAGAATCAAATATTACAATCTTCATTTTAGAATTTTAAAATGTAAATCTTCTCTCTAATTAACTTTAATTTATTTTACTGAGTGACATGCCTCCATATAAACATTGCATTATTTTTCTTGCAATCGTGTTCGTTCATTTTTATTTTACGCTTTACACGTTAATGAGCAGAATTGCTTTTAACATAATTTACATATTATTTACTTCACTTGAATGAGACCATATTTACGGATAAAAAAAATTGATATACCTACATATATAAAACACGCATATTAGACGGTCTTGTTACCTTTGATAGGTTGCCTGAGGTCCACCTGGTGTCATGGCAGTAGTTGTGTTTTGTGTTGCGAGTGCGAGTTTCTGCTGTCGATGTTGGAGCATCTGCCGGCTGAAGACCCCATATCCGAAGCCATAGATTTCGTCTTCCTCCTTGTCGCTGAGGCAGCTCGAGGGCTGCACAAAAATGGAGATCGTTCGTTCTTTTCCTTTATCTATAGAGGTAGTGGAGTTTTGCTTGCGAAGCAGTATTGGCTACTATTTATGTTGTAAATGGAAGAAGACAGGAACGATATTAAGAATTCGTTATATAAAAAAGTTATATATAAAAGTAATGTTGTGCTGCAGAATTTTATGAGGAAAAAGATGACATGATCGGACGTGAAAATCAATCTAATCGAGGTTGAAAAAGAAACGACAAATCTAAAGATCTAATTATGTAGAATGTTTCCATTTAATTATAAATCTGTATCCAATTTCAAATAGTAAAAAGTAATTATTATTGTCGATTACAAGATTGTGAAGTCCCACACAAATAATAAAAATATATATATATAAATAATAAATATGTAAAGAAATTTTTATTATATTTTCCATTTAATTTTATATAAAATTTATATTAGAATTTTTAATTTAAGACCTACTAAAATACTTGTAATGCAATAAATTCAAATTAAAAAGATAATTTAATTAAATTTTTGATAGAGTCGATATTTTATATTATCATTACACTAAATTCGCTAAAAATATTTATAAAGAGAAGTGTATAACATAATTATATAATATTTACAAATTTATCCATTGTGCCATGCATTCATTTTTACAAAGTTAACTTTTTCTTTTATTTTCAATATTTACGAGATCGTTGTTGTATCTAATTTAAAAAATATTAAAAATATTAAAAAATTAATGACCAATCGTTTTCGTGCTTAATCAAAACGTGAAATATTCTGAAAAGAATGACTTTTATATTAATTTTCCAAATCGACACATCATCGATCTTTGAAGCAATCTGACCTTAATAGTCAATCGATTACTTGCGTTTGAAAACTCGATTAGCCGCGGGGAGAAAGACTGAGTAACGAACAATAACCGATTTAAGCTGGGATCGATAGGGTCTACATGGTTAATCGCCTTAAAGCACTTTGGAAAGTTACTCATGGAAGAACCACGAGCCCACAAACGCAAAGTGAACTTCCTTCCATGAAGGATTTCCCGTCATGTCTCTCTTTTGTTAAACATATCGTTTAAATGTGTATAAAAGATAGAGACAAATTAGCATATTAAAAAATATTAACTGAACCAACACAATTATATTTCGTATAACAATTTCTCATTATAAGACTTAGGTACTATTACTTGTTACCAATTACTACAATACAAAATTATTTATTATTTTAGATACATATTTATGTACATACATCGTTGCGAAGATTGTTGAAATATAATTTTAGTCTTATGAATACGTTCATATTTCATCGATTGCTTGGTAAATACGCGATTGCCTGCGTCTGACAATTTTCTTCGTGATAAAATTGTCCCCGCCCATCAGAAAAAGAGACAAATCCTCGTATCGAATCAATAGGACGTGTTCTTCTTGCGAGTTCTGTCCCTTCAAAAGCAATTTGGCCAAGTGTCAAGGGAGTAGAGTAATAAGAAGAAATCGCGGCGATAGACAAGCTACTATATGTCACCCTATAACCACATTATGCCATCCGCGGAAGCAATAAAAGAAGAGAACGCCAGGAAGGGGCAAATAAAAGCGAATATGAGAGATTTGCTCACCGAGTATTTTCCGGGCACGTAAATGGGCTGTGAATGACTGGTGGTGAGCTGGGTGTTGGGCATTCGTGCGGAAGCGTTTGTTTCTCGCCGGCGTAGTTCCTCGAGCGGCTCAAGAACATCCCCGTAATGCGTCCTGAAGAGATCTGCATATCTTGAAGCAAGCCCTTCCAAATACCCTCTCTCGCCCTCCTATAACACATAATGTATAACACAAAATAATTACAATATTGTCAAAAAAATTCTACAAATAAAAATGCTTGTGTACATAAGCATATCCATTATTTTCACATGTAACGTAAAATAATAGATATACGATTTCGAATTAACTGTAATTAAATCTGTGAAAGATTTCCATAACGATAGTTGTCAAAAATTAATCGTCGACCTTAAATTTTTTAAAAGCTCGCTATAATCGGCAATAGCTGAATAATAAATACACTTTATTGCAATGTCAAAAATTATTTGCGTGTGCTCAAAATAAATTTGTGTAAAATATGTTATAATTTTCTCATCAGTTGATAAATTAATAAACGATTGTAAATTTTTAAATGCAATCGTCATAAGATCAATTCATATTGGAAATGTGGAGCGCATTTAGATTAATTATTGAGCTATTTATTAATGAAGCCTGACAAAAGCACAGAATTATCCCATATATTGCAAATAATAATAAATGACAGACGTGTTATCTGAATAAATGAGATAACTTTTCGAAATAATCAGATATACATTGTCACAATCGTAACATAGGAATAAATTTTGTTTTTACTACATGAATATTAATTTTTTTTTAGTATACATGCAATCTATTAAATATTAAATCTGTTTTTTTTTTTGGCAGATGATTCGCATATTTCTTATATATATGCACAATTTAAAGTAAAAGAAAACATTAAAAGAATACGTAAGTAAAAATATAAGTGTTAAAGACAGCGTTATATTTTTATACGATATAATTTTTAATATTGACGATGTTACATTAAAGATCAATTTCTAAACAAGTAAACTGATATTCTCGAGAAAACGTCTTTACGTATAAAAAATGTATGTATACACATTCGCCCTGTTTTCTCGAATTGAGCCAGGTCGGTACAGTAGTGTATGATTCAACGAGGTAAGCGCATGGGCGGACATAAGGGGAAGGGAAAGCGAAACGTCTAGGAAAGGACATATGGTTCAGGAAAGAAGCGGACAACGGGAAGTAGGTAGAAGAAAGTCGAGGATAAGGATCGGTGTCACATTAATATTTCAGGATTCCACTTCCGCCGACTCTTGATTCGACTCTCGGCTCGTAGTAACCATGGAAGAGCTGTGTCCCTTTTATGGGCGCGAGGAGGAAGTGGAGGCGGAATAGAGAGGAGCAAGGAGTTGGTGGGCGTAGGGAGGATCATGAAACGGGAACGCTTTGTCTGGCGCGAATCGCCTCCTATTTACACTTTAAGCGGCCTCTATCCATCCTCCACATCCGCCGCTGCCGCCGCCACCGCTGTCGTCTCTCCGCTAGGTGCCGGCAAACGATATTCCACGGCTACCATCGCGGTCGTCTCTCCCGGATTTAAATCCCATTTGTAAATATTCCCTTCGTGGTTGTGAGTGAATTACGTGGGAATTATGCCCGACGCGAAGAAGCGGTTCATCTTCCGCGCGCTCCCGCTCCAATTTCGCAAAAGGCGCCGACAGGTTTCACGCAGACTTCGTGACAAAGTCTTCGCGCTATACGTTTAATTTCTCGATGGTGAGACGGCAAAATAAAAAAGATATCTCTCTTGCATGCGACGTATAACAGAATGTAAGATGTATATTGTACACGAATACTTTTTATTGATAATACTAAGCAAGTGAGTGACAAAACAGCTATGAAAATCGTTTTTTACGATTGTGTCTTAATAAAATCGGTTCGTCGAGTTCAGCAGGACATTTTAGCGATTTTATTTCACATAATTCGTCATAATAATTTACGTTTTTTAGAACGCGACTCACGTGAAATAGAATACAATGCAAAAATAGAAAATGCGAACGAAAAACGCATATACGTAATTAATCCTCTGGGATATGTGACGTACGACATACATTTCAACAATTCGGTAGCCATTTTCAAAATTATATCGCAACTGTTGCTAGATATGCGGCTCCATTTCGCTAAAAGAATTCACCACGCGCTCGACATCACATTGTGTGGTATTAGTAGAGTAAATTGCACGAAAAAATATACAGAATATTCCGTACTAAATTACACATATTATACGCATATAAGTAACTAAAATAAATAAATCTAACTTGTATTCAAATAAAGGCAAATAGTAAAAGCTCGAATATAATAGGCGTATTATATTATATTTTTTTTTTATGACAATTTAATTGAATCACTAAAATCTCACTTTACATCTATAATTTGCGTCAGATTTCAAAATAGAATTGTGTTCGTAATTTTATATATTCTATATTTTGATTAATATTTCATTTTAATATATATTTCACACGATGTATTCTTCAAATGCTTTTCCTATACAAAATCATGAACAATTCTACTCTGAATTCTGATATAAGCTACTGATCTAAAATAGATATTATATTGTGTCTGTTGCATAAAAGGTGCAATTTCGTGCAATGGAAAGGAAAGCTGGCTTTTTACCTTTACTTCAATCACAATCAAAGCAATGTTCAAAAATTGTTTGCTCCATTTTCTTTTCATAGAACGTTCTGGCTTTAAGTTTAAGAAATACAATCGTTTATTTTTGCTAATTTTTAATTCATTTTATTATACAATAATAAAAATGGATTACGAAAATGAGAATACATCGAATATGTAAAAGAATACACTCATAGCAGCTGCAGCTGCAGCAAAGATTTGGAGGCGACGTATAGTTGCAATTACTAATATAAAATTATTAAAAAAAAAAAAGGAATTGAATAGCACCCATTTCTAAAAAATCATAGCGAACATGGTTTTTCCTTTGCTTCAAAGTTAATCTTGGAAGATATACGATTCTATGAATATAACATGACATGAATATGACATGTCATATCTTGATATCACATGTCATGTATTTCAGCGATGTTCGCTATTAGTGGAATAATATCGAACTTTGAGTGTAACTTCGTTATATACAAAAATTAATGGAGTGGGGGTAAAATACTTTTATTAGCTATATGAAATGGAACCTAAACACGATACTATAAAAAAAACTTATAAAATTATTTTTAGTAATGTAACTATTTTTATGTATTAGTAGCTAGTTTCTAAGAGAGAGAGAAAGAGAGAGAGAGAGAGAGAGAGAATCCTAATCATAGAATTCTATTCAAAAGGCACATCTGTTTTCATTCTCTATGCTGTATGTAAAGATTTTTGAAAAAATCCTTATTGCATTTTTACAGGAAATATCTACACTGAAAGAAAAGATTGACTGCTGTAGCAAATTAGATGGTAAATATATAGCATACCATTTTTAATTGGTTGCAGCAGCTAACTTTTGGCTACAGCTAATTTTTGGTTGCAGCAATAATTTTTGTTGCGTTAGCCTATCCGTGAGTATAAAATTTCAATAGGCTAATACAATCAAAAATTGGTTGCTGCAACCAATTAAAAATGCTGTGCCATATTCAGCCAATCTTTTCTTTCAGTTTATGAAATCCATCATATATATCGATTATATGTATATATGTATAAAAAGAGTTCAATTATGTATAAATATATATATATATATATATAT